GATACCAAACTTATTGCATAAGTTCATGTAATAGTAGTTCAATAAAATTTTGAATGTGAGTCAACAAATGAGATGACATGGCCTTTCACCTGTGACCCAAATGGAAAAGGTTAATCTGGTGTTGTTTATAATAGTAAAAAATATAAAAAAATTTCAAATAAATATATTGTGTGTGTTGTGTGCATGGTTTTTTAACATCCTACTTTCTTTTGAGGTTTTCATGTTTTCAGTATACTGTGGTTTTATTTAAGACATATTTTAATAGAGCCCTTGTCTTATTTTTTGTTTCTTGGTTTAATGAAGTGTTGTTCCTTAAATTTGTTGTACAAAATGCTTTAAATTCAAGTAAAAAGCTTGCTGCACTGTATTTTCACCTATTCACGTTGGTGTTTGCATTGTAGATAGTGGAATTGGAAAGATACACAGTAGGCTGGAACTTTTATATTGTAATAACATTAGTAATAACATTGTAATTGCATTAGTAGACATTACTGGCCGGGGATCAGCAAAACAACAAGCAGCTGAACCCTTTTGCATCAGGTAGGGCAAAGTGTGCATGTCACAACCTTTTACAGAGTTACATTAAAAATTTAATTAAACTACTTTATTATCAATGTATACAAATAACCTTGACATCAAAATATAGTTAATAAATCAAATTTTAGTATCATTTAGGTTTTAAGTTCTTAATTTTATAACGAAATTAAAAAAAAAATTCAATCTTCCCTAGTAAGAGAATTGTGACATTTGCTCTCTAGGTCTTCTCTAATTTATTTACCACCCTTCTAAGAAATATGGAATTTAATGTAAATTACTTATTATAATATAGACATTACTCAGGCAAAGCATAAATTTTATACCCTTCAATCTTATTTGATTACGGAGCCATAAACTAGAAAATCAGATCTACTTGCCATGCCCACATGTCACATCCTCTCTCACAAATTGCCAGTAGTTGTCTCTAACATTTTATACTATATTATTTATAACCAATGGAAAGCCAGTGTTTTAATTTATCAAATGACATATTATATTACATTGTCTTCTGTACAAAGAATTGTCTAATTTGCTTCCAGTGGGAAACACATCAACGAGCATAGCTGAATTTTTAACAGCTCTTAGCACACAGTTGGAAAGCCAAACAAAATATGAAATTATGCTAGTTATAGGACAATGTCTGCTTTTTCATATTATTATTCTATGTTTTTAACTTATTACTTAGTTAGATAAATCATTTATTGTAGTTGTAATATTATCATAAAGAGGAAGCTTAAGTTTTTTTGATAGTTGAGAGTAAAAAGTAAGAAGGCCCAGGTAAGTACTATATTTCTTGTTTTTCATGTGTATATTTTTATTTTTCATTATAAATGTAAGATGTCAAAATTAGAAACTTATTGGATTAGATAAGTTTAGATTAGGTAATCTTATTGTAATGGAGTTTGCAATGTATACGTCCAAAACTCAGATCTTGGAAACTACCACACCAATCATAACTGGGTAATATTTTTATAACTAGGCAGTATTTTTATAGCTGAACAATAAATAAAACAATTGAAATTTCCACAAAAAGTATATGTTTCATATTTAACCAAAAAAAATTAGAAAAAGGAGTAAGTTTAAAATGTAAAACAATAAAAAAACTTCACAAAAAATTATTTGTTTTTCTTTAGTGAAAATCTCATGAGTGTTGCAAAAGAAAAGCTAGGCACTTTTATTGAAATACAAAGAAATACTTCAATAAAATTTATTCTGTGGTGTAATGCTGTGATGACAGTTCATTTTTTAAACTAAGATTTCAATATTATCCTTTTTGTCATGGATGGTGAACATTATTGAATCTCAAGTATGAGTACATTGTTGTAGAACTGTCAGACAATTCCAGAAAAGACCACAGGCCCAATAGCCTTCCGCAGGAACTAGCAGTTATACCTGCCCGGAGGGTGGGTGTTTCTGCTAGTAATAATGATAAAATTTCTTCTTGCTATGTTTGGAAGCAGCTTGTGCACTCAGTGATTTACAACTTGTATGGCAGTATTATTAGTTAGAAATGGTTCAAAAGGCAATAAAACAGTAAAGTTGATATTTACTAAAGAGGTTTTAAGGATTATACAAATGAAATTTTAAAATTTTCAGATGAAGAAAGGTATTGTTAATATTAACTTGAAAAATCACTTTGCACTAGGAGCAGTCAACATTCTGACACCTTATAATTATGGACAAAGTTTTAGTAAAACTATTTTTTTGTGTACAAAATACTTTTTAATGTCTACTGAAAGCTTGCCAAATTTTATGAAAATAAAATAATTCATAGTATTTATACCAGCATGGTTACATAGTAGTTACAAGGTTATGTAAAATACATGAGCCCATTTCAAAAGGGCTAAATCTGTCCTTAATTTCATAAATTGTGCAAAAAGCTTCAAGGGATCAAAATGGTCGATGGTACCATTGTAGGTTTGTTAACCCTATATCCCACGACCTTGTACAGAGTGTTATTCAACATGATATTATATGTGTGTGTGTGTTATATATATATATATATATATATATATGATATCTTGGTTGTCAACTGTTCATTTTACCCTACATTGTTGATTCAGTGACAGTTCATGATAGAGGAGAGATATACAGAGATATTTAAAAAAACTTAGATATGCATTTCAGAGGTTCTAAAAGTTATGCATAATGCAAACTTTACAGTTAAAAAATATTTTTATTATTCACTCAAACATCACCTTGCACTCTTACTTCTCAGAGTCTGAGTCAGTATGATGTCTGCAATTCACAAATGTATCTTGAGTGCAAATATGTTTGTAACACATCTGATTATTTTTTGTATACAACAGACTTGTATATTTTATTAAAAGCTAGCCACATTTCATGTAGATAGATGTAGTAAATTTGGAATTATAGTCAACATTCCTTTTCCAATACACGGTTGGTCCAATGGAGAACTTCATGCACAATAGATTGAGACAAAGTTACTGATTAATTCATTCCTTATTATTACTAAAATACTTTGATAGCAGAGCTGGAGCACTCAGTAACATAATGTACCAATGTTTATTCACATTATTAGAAAAAGAGTCACTAAGAAGATCATGATTAGAGAGCAAATATAAAAAAACTGAATCAATATTACACTTTTATTAATTATTTTATATTTGAAGAGCATTTGTGATGGAACTTTAATATAATCATTGAAAGGCTCAGTTACTTTTAAACTTATCCTTAAAATCTAATTCACTCTTGCAAGGTGAATAATCTATCTTAAGCTTGGATGGATTAGCATTTAACAGGCCCCTCATGAGCCATTGGGGGACAGTTTTGTTAAAAAAAAGAACTACTCAATCCAGTTTTTCTTAATTTTAACTGAACTTTTTTGTACATTTTTATTGACTAAAAAGAAGGCATTTCCTGCACTCTGTTAGCATTGGGGCTGTGAAAAGTGATTTGAAATGGTAAGGTGACTGAAATCCGTCAGCGCATCACGAGCTTAACAGCCAAGCACAAGAAGCACGGATGTCTCCAAATGATATGCAGAGATATTCAGAAACCATTTAGAACCACCTTGGTAGATATTGTGCAGGAAGCCGAGTACAATATTATACCTGTAGCTGCTTCCGAAGTATTCCTGTCTGCTCATGCTACTGCTGACTATCATGATATTTAGACCTTCCCTACTGAATCACAGGTGAAATTGTTCATATCTCAATTGAAAGCTAAACATAAAAAGGTGATAGCAAAAGCATAAAAGGTTGGCAGTCGCTTAATTAATGATGCTGAGAATGTGGCTTTATTGATATATACTGAATTTACTCCCAGCAGGTAGACCTTAGTACTAACTAGTATGGAGATATGAAGATGCTGTATTTCACTTAAAACTTTATCAATTAACAAACGAAAACTTGCCTCAAAAAGATATGTCCAAAAACCCCCTCTTTAGGAGCTTCTGGATTGAACTTACTTTTAATATTCAACAAATTGTTGTGTAAAGACACTCCTTGGTTCCTGAGGGACGTGTTAAAAATTACAAAACAAATGTAGAAAATAAAGATTATATCCTACTTTGATATTTATTTGATCTCTATATTTTTAGATTATAGCAGAAGCTACTCCAAAACTCTTTTCTGAAATTATGTGGAACCAGGTAGTTTTATGGGAGCCTTCAGGAATATTACCATGTCTACCTATCTTTTCAATGGCCCTATCTTGCCAAACGTAGGTTTTAGTTTTGTGTTACTTTAATTTCTGTAAGTCCATTTGCTTTTATATAATATTGTACATGTACATGTAATAGTCCTGTTATTAATCTTTAAAATTCAATTATAGTGATTGTGTTTTACACATGCAATAAAGTTAACATTGTTTTTTATGCTTTTGTTTAAAATTTAATCAACTACTAGCTTTGCACTAATGAAGTTATTTCTTTCACATTGTAGTCAGTTGTTTGAGATTTTTGATACTCTGAATGAGCCTTCTCTCAAGAGGATGAACACAGTTGTTAGTGGTGCTGTCAATATGTGTTCTATTGTATATATACTGGTGAGTAATCTGCTATTATTCATACATAACACCCATTAGTGTTAAATGTGGGTATAAATAAGGTGATTTAAAGTAGGTGATTTGGTTTGTGTATTGCTATATACTACTGATGAATCTATTTACTTGGTCCTCATTTCAGACTGTGATAAACTTATATGGATGCACTGATTATGAATAATAAAATATATATAGTTAAAAGTACTTGATGCTTTTGTGGAAGCAGTTTTGTTTAAAAATGTTCATGTTTTTAAAGAGGATATATATAAAATTAATAAAAAGAGATACTAACTCTCATAAAGAAACATCACCACAGCAGTTGTACAAGAAAACATTAGCCTCCTTTAAGAAAATTTGTTATCTATTTTGAGGTACTCTGTTTTTAAATATGGTTATTATTATTGTCTTAACTTTACTTTGTTTAAGGTGTTTTGTCCACTTGGGTCATAATTGTTTGGTGTTAACAATAAGTGGATTTTGGTAGATGTACACATTTGTATGCATATATGTATGTGTGTGTGTACTATTTTATGAAATATATAAAATTTAAAACATACAAGTTAATTTTATTGCTTATACCATAGGATTTTTTAAGTTTTCTCTTGCAATTCATAGCTATAAGTATAGAACCTAGTATGAAGCCAATACATTAAAAAAAAGTGAAGCAGAAACCTGGAAAAAAAATCTAGAAAATTTGTATGTAAGGTGTGTGAGTATGTACATGTAACATTTAGCTTCTCCCTAATGACTGCTTTAAAAAGTAAGCAAATTTTTTAAAAATATATATTCATACAGAAGCCTTTGGAACATGTGCATTGTTTACCAAAAATTCATTATTTCTATAAACATTGAAAAGTCTCTGAAACCAAAACTGTTTAATTTGTTATCAATAAAAATATATATATACATAAGATAATAGGTAATGGGAAGAAAATAGCTTTTATAATTGCATTAGGTCAATATTATTTTAGTTTGTTTTTATTTTAATACAGTGAAATAATGTGTTTTTTTCATGGTTAGGTATTTGTTGTTTGTGTGTTTCATTGCATATCATAAATCATATGACTGTTGATCTCTTACAAAATTACTTTAAGTGAACTTTATGAAGTACTTGTGTATTTACAGCTCAAATACTGTGCATTGAGGGTTAATTGCATTTTATAAAGAAATGTTATATGATCCATACTGTCCTTAGAACTGTATTCTTCATTATTAGTTCTACTCACTCACTGCTCTGCCTGATGTCTATGATTACACATTTTTGCTTGCCACCAGTTTTCATTGTAATAGCATTTTGTGAAGGACAGTGATGTTTTTCTTTAATCATATAACTTGATAGGCTTTTCACAGAAGTGGACATTGGTTTCCATAGACAAATGTAAGCAGATCAAAGGCATAAAAATCTGTTGGTTAGAACTGCATCAGGGGGACTTGGTAGCTACACGATGAAATGAAATTTCTGTGATTATAATTTTTTTGTATACATTTCTTTTGAAAACATTTCATTTCGAAGTATGTTTGGAAGTCTGTGAAATATTTGGTTTGTGGACACTCCTACAATTTCAGGTCCTTCTTATTATCTTGTTCATGGTACCAGGGAAATCCCAGGTTCATTGTGATCACTTTTTAGGCTGTCAGATTCTCTTTGTAATTCTAGCTTCCACTTTGTAGATGAGACAATTTCTCTGGATTAACATTGCTGTTCTAAATGCACGGCTGTGTAAGGTTTGTGGCTTCCATGAGGGACAATAACTGTTTCTTTCTTGAAAATATTATGTCATTATAAAGCCTGTATTGTTTAAGTGTTTTTGTTGTAAGAAAGGAAGGTTAATTAATTTTTAGATAGTGGTTGTGATCAGGATTGGTGTTATTAGGTGTGATGAAAGTGTCAGAAAAATAATTAACAAATAGGTTGGCTTTTTGACTATCTGTAGAAGCTGTTATGTTTTTGTACTTGCTGTTCCTGAAGTCTTTAGATTCTTGGCAGTGGGACAGCAGTAAGTCTACGGACTTACAACGCTAAAATTAGGGGTTCGATTCCCCTCAGTGGACACAGCAGATAGTCCCAACCATGAAAAGCGAAGTGTCTTGTAACAGATGAGAATCCGTGAATATAAAGTTCAGTGACAAAAGCCATACATTATCTTCAGGTAACAATATGCAATATAATCAAGAAGGATCTTCATTTGGAAAAGTAACAAAAGTCACATTTACACAAGTTGCTTTTATGACAAATTCTTTTAACTGTGGCATGCTTTGAAGTTACAGTCTTTTGCAAAGGAAATTAAACTATGGGGTTATTGTCAAGATGCCTGGTCATCAGATAGCATGTTACTGGATGTAGCAACATGGATTTTGGAACTTAGTTCTATGATTATCAGAGTTTGGTTGCTCTGGGGGTAGGGAGATAGTCATGTTAGTTCTTCTGGGGTTTTATTCCCATCAGTTGTTGGGCCTAAGAAGACTAGAGATTGGTGTCCAGTCATTGATCTTTCTCGTCTATATCAATGCCTACATTCTCCAAGGTTCTCAAGTAACTCATTCCTCAATCGGAGTTGGCATTTTTTACTGGAATTGTGGATGTCCAAGTTCATTGTAGTTGGCTCCTATCTGCAAATTGCTATAGTGGTGGTGTCACACCACTATTGTCATTTTTTAGTGCACAAGAGTCAGGTACTGCAGTTCAGGGTTTTTACCTTCACACAAGCATTTGCATCACATGGGTTCTGCCAAATTGTATGAGATAGATAATGATATGTCATGACTCAGTGTCACCTGTTGAATATTACTATCATACAAACAGTGAATCTTTTTGACAACAAACTGTAATACTAGATATCAATGTAGACAGTTGAAATAACTCATCTCAAAAGAATAATTGTTCTGGTTCAGATTTGACCTCAGCTATTTGGTTGGGTTGAGCATGGTCTTTCTTTTTGATCAATATTGGTTTGGTACATTGTTCATGGAAGAGATTCCATTGTCTCCTCATAATTCCAAATGCAGAATGGTCCCATTCTGGAGTCCTTGGTTGAGCACAGTTTGTTCCACATCCTCCCCATAATTCTGGAGGCAAGTGGAATTTACCTTGCCTACACAGTTGGGGAGTGAGGATGAATGTTCATAATTCCAGACCAAATGAGTTCTGTTTCCTCAGGTTGAGTATGGCATACAAGATCCTGTCATTCCAAGCCTGGAGTGTTGCTGTTCAGACTTCTTCAAGTTGAGGAAAAGGTTTATCCACTTCAATGTTGCTTACCTTCTCGTTGTGATTCTAGTGGCTCAAAATGCATCATTCTATGGCTAAAGATTGGGATCCACTCATACATATATATCTTGCAGCCCAATTGCTCTAGCCACAAACATGGGGTATAGGAACCATTGTCCTATAATTCCAACCCCAAGCAGTGGAACTTCAGCTATCTGGTTGGGGCCTTGCCAATAGGGATGATAAATCATCTAAAATTCCATCCACAGTACATGAATTAAGTTCTGGGTGAAGAGCATACCTGTTCTGGATGTAGTGTGGTTCCCCCACTAGGGTGCCAATCTTCTGTTGACACACCCATGATCTATGCAGATGCTTTCTGTATGGGTAATGCCCTCACTGGCCCCTCCACCTTCTCAGTGTGGTATTCTAACTGTAGTGTGATAGAGGTATGTTTTGGAAGTTAACATTTTCTTAAATTGAAAACATATTTCCAATAATACTTACCTCCTCTCACATTCTCCTACCCTGCAAATTGAGTCAGTCTTGAAAAAAGTGATAATATTATCTGAATGAGGTGCTTATATACAGTACGGGGATAGAGAGTGTATTGACATAGGTGGAAAGTGTCACAAGACAAATATCGCCAAAGGCAATTAAGTGGGGTATAAAAGACTGGAGCAAGTGAGAAAAAATTAGACCAATGCTTAGATGGGCAAAAGAAGAAGCCCTGGCTGTCGAGTAGTAGCTGTAGTGTGAGAAGATTAACTATTATTGGAAATACATTTGTATTTAATTATTTAAGAAAATGTTAACCTTTATAGTGTTACTATTAACTACATAACAGCTAAGTAATATTGACAAGTGTCCATGCTTCCTGGTGGCCAAATCATCATTATGTGAGACAACACTTTGTATTAAGGAAATTGAATAACAAGCTAGCCTCTAAATATATGAGATACCATAAAAAAAAGAAACCAATAGTATTGTTTAAATATCCTTTTGTAGACTTTTAGCTTCAAATGATAAAATATTGAAGGATAAACAAATATTTAAAATTTTCTGAAATAATGTATTTAGCAGTTTTTCTTGTTTTCATGCTTGAAAATTACATAGTGTTTTATGTTTAATATATATCTTGTAAACATCACTGTTATACTGGTATAGTACACAGTTCTGATTACATCTAGCACCAAAGTAACTACTATTTTTATTTCTAAATCAAATTTATTGTTATGAATCAGGTTAGACAGGATGTGTTTAAACACATTTTGAGCCATGCAAACAAGTCATCATTAGTTTGGTGTAGGTGTGGCCAAATTGTTAGTTTGATCCCACTGTAAATCCAAGAGTTTGTGGTTTGGATCCAGTTGCGAAAAACACGTGCTTCAGTTGGTGAGTGCTGTTGACTAGCTACATCCACTTTGGTTTATCAGTTCAAAATTGGAGATGAGTTTAGGTAGCTTCGTGTGACAATTACGAAACATTACACCAGAAAATTGCAGAAACATTTAAAGTAAGAAAAAAAATAGTTTAGAAAGTACAGCATAATAGTTAATTTTGATGTTTTGTGATGTTTCTGTGAGAAAAAGTTTTTGCTCATTATTGAGTTTTTATTTTTCTACAGGTGGGAGTTTTTGGATATGTGGCATTTTTTGATGAGCCAATGACAGGAAACATTCTTGTAAAGTTAAGCCCAACCCTCATTTCTCAGATTATAAAATTTGGTTTTGTCATCACAGTGGTTATCAGTTTTCCATTGTGTTTGTTTCCATGTAGGACAAGTCTTCATTCATTGGTCTTCAAACAGGTTAGATCTTTATATATGTAGTTCAGAAACTAGTCACTAACAAAACAAAATGGGTTTTATATGTTACATTTCATCATTTTTTAACAAACAATTTTGGTATTGAGGATTTATTTTGTTTTTAAATGCTATAAATGTCAATGTAGAGTTATGTTCAATAGCAGTGATTTAGTTCCCTATACACATTCTTTTCTCTTTTTTTTTGTTTTGAAGAGTATTATTTTTTTTTCCATATATAGGAATTTGTTTGATGAATCTTGATTATTGTCCAATATCAAATAGATACTTTATAGTCATTCTGGGATTGTTTTATGATTTAGATTAGAGAAATCTTGATATTGACCTCATTAAATTCAGTATATTTAGAAACTAGAATAAAAGTACATTTTTGTTTTTTAACAGTACCAGGAACTAAAAGCATGAAATTTACTGATGGTATATAAAAAAGAGGATTATTAAATTGTGTATTTGATAAATAAAGTATTCTGAATTATTGAAAGGTTAAAATTCAAGGTATTTGTATAAATATAAGTAATTAGAACACTCAGCTGATCAATGTTTTTAAGTACACAACTTAAAAAAATATTCTGAGACTGTCAGTGGTTTCAAAACAGACATTAGATGTTTCAATGTACATTTTCTCCTGAGGATGTGAGATTGTACATCAAAATGTGTGTTTTTTTTAATTATGTACTTAAAAATAGTGATTCAGTGTTTTAATGTTTTTTTCCTTATGAGTGTAAAAACAGTGTAAACCATATATACAAAAGTCATTAGGCATGTGATAACTTAATTTACATACTGAACTTAAGTAGTTTTCTGTAATTTGAATTTGAAAAGTGACAATTGAAATTTCTTATTATTTGAAGACTAACTTTATTGTTTATTCTAATTTTATACTCAAAATACTTAATCTTAAAGAATTTGGGTCAAGCATAGCTTAGGGATTAATGTGCAGGACTTTTGATTTGAGGTTTCATATTTATAATCTTGTTACTGGCCACAAAAAAACTTGTGCTGTGTTTGGGCTAAATCCTACTGTTCAACCCAATAAGATCCTAGCTATAGGTGCATTATAGGAGTGATGGACCAATCCCACTACTTGATGGTGGATGCTATTGACTAGTTGCCTTCCCTCAAGTCTGTCACTTCAAAATTACAGACGACTAGACAACTATCACAGATAGCCCTAGTATATCTTTGCACAGAATTCAACAAAGAATTGAAGAAGTATACTGTCATAAAATATTAAAACATGTCTGTTCTAAGCTAATTTTTAATCAGAATATTAAGAAAGAAAAAAATAAAGTCATAAGATTGTAAAATCACATGTATCTGAATCTTTTTTTTATTCATATATTAAAACAAAATGATTTTTTTCATATATGTATTATTACTTGTATGAAATTTTTAACACCTGCCACGAGCCAGCCCAGTGTCTTTTAGTACTGAACCTAAGATGGTCAACAGGGAGGTCATTCTGGAAGCCAGTGATTTAGGGTTATTTCAGTAGATCTCAATGAATGAAATTCAACACAACTTCTAAAATGAAAAACAAAACAAAATATTAATGAAAATATGACATAATGAAACCTATATAGATTATACTATTGTGCTACCATACTGGGCATTATACCATCCTTCTTATATTTACTCTTCATTGCAAAAATGGTTCTTTTAATTTGAGAATTATTAGGGAAATCATCTTGTAATTCAACTTCAACACTGTGGCTTTGACCTTTACTGTGCCGTTAGTTTCACAAAATATTGAAACTAATGATTTTTTATATGTGATTCTAATCCCCTTTTTAAGTTAATGATACCTTTGTGCCCATTGTTTTATGTTTCACTGTCAATGCAGTAACCAAGTGATCAATCTCCAGTTCAGCTGGTATGTCAAATCAATTGGAATATCTTTATCTTCAAATAAGTTCTTCCTTCATCCAACTTGGACCTACAGTTTAGTTTAATCGCTACACTTAAACCATCACATTCACAACCACATCTATAACATTTCAAGTATGTTTCATTGTTACATCATTTTATTTTACATTTACAAGTTAACTTCTCCATGTTGGCTCTCATAGTCTTGAGTCAGGTCATGGGTCTCGTCCAGCGCCTAGATTTTGGAAATAGTGCCAACCGTCTTCTCTTTGTCTAATAAAAACAACCCAAACTTTTCCATAATGTCTCTCTCTCTCTCTCTTCTTTTTTTTTTATCCACATCAAGATGCTGGGCTGGCTTGTGTAACAGGTGTTAAAATACAATTTAGAGATAACAGAAGCAATAGTTGTTAAAATGATTCATCTAAGGAAGAGTATCTTTCCCTGATTGCTTATTTATGTGTAACATGGATGAATTGCTAACTATTGCAACACCTTTTAAGCTTTCTTATAAGTGTTCATATATATGTATAAGAATAGTCATTTATGCAGTGATTTACCATTATGTAAAGTGGTTTAACTAGCTTCTGATAATCCCTAATCAAGGAGGATTTTGTTTAGCTGGCCTTAATGAAATTTTACATCTTTGAGTTTTATTCTGATGTATATTTTTATTTAATTTTTTAGGGTTTTGTTCACCATGATGCCCCAGCAAACTACATTCCAGACCATCATTTCCGTGGCCTGACAATACTCTTGGTTATGATCACTGTAGGAATAGCTGTTATTCTTCCTAATATTGAAGTTGTTTTAGGAATTGTTGGATCAACTATTGGAATTATCATCTGTGTAATTTTGCCTTCCATGATCTTCATCAAGGTCACCTCCAAGAACACCAATGAACGACTTTTGGCTCAGGTCAGGTTTAAGTAAAGAAAAAAAAATGATCCTTTGAATATCTTTTAAATCTCTAAGAAGTTAAAGTATCTACACAAGTTTTTGAACCGATTGTGGAAACAAAATATGATTTTAAGAAACAGATGGTAGAAAAAAAAAAGGATTAAAAACACTATAAAAACCATGAAAATATGTCATAAAAATGTAATACATTCAAGAATACATAAAGAATTTTATATATTCTACAATGGAAAATGGTGATGTAGTCAGCAGAAATATAACATTCTTTGTGAGGTACTACTTAAGAAAGTTATTAGTAATCAAAGTATTTTTAACAAAAAAAGATTAGAAAAAAATTGTAATCTTGTTTTAGAGTACAGGATTAGTGATGGGTGTACATAGGGATGTTTACGACAGATTACTATGATACAAAGATATTTCTAGGCCTTATGGCCCCTTCTTCTAGCACTGTTAGTGCTCAATGTGGACTATTGTTATGCAGTGCAAAACACTGAATTCACTGTTGTCTTCCTCCTCTGTACACCCTTTTCATCAGCTCTGCATGAATGGATGGTGACTTCTGAAGGCTCATGGGATGTGTTTGCAAACAGTATAGCATGAATTCCCATATGTACTTGTGTTTTGCAGAGTAACTGGCATATTGATTTGAATGCATAATTGGATGCTCTATTGAAATTCAGTCCATATAAAGTTGGTATTTCCTTACAGTACAGTAGTGTCAGCATATTAGCCTGATAATATCCAGAAATCACCTTGCAATTTTGCACAACCCACTGTATGTTAGACTTATCATTATGCTATAACTTGCAACCATCATAAATAAATTTTCTTTCTGTCATTTGTTAAAATGTGTATACTTGGCAGAATAGAAATAAATTGCATGGACTTTTGTAAACTCAAATGGTCATGCTACTGTGACGACATATACTTTCAATCTGGTGAAACTTGTGGAGGCATCTTTTGTATTACTTTTATAGACCACAATTTGTGTGAATTATCTCTAAGTAAGATTCCTGCTTGAGCTGCAATAAAATGCTGTGTGACTGATAAACAGTCATGAAGTAGCCTGTTTTTTTTCCTTTTTGGAAACACATTTTCCCTTGCTTTACTTAAATGTTTAACACTGTAGATATACTTTTCTTTATAATACTAAAAGTTTGTGCCTTGCATGCTTTTGTAACCTCAGAATAGAAGTTCATGTCAGAAAACCTTAAAACGTAACATTCACAAAATGAGTTAATTTTAGACACCATCTGAATTTGCGAATTTCAATAAGATGATCAAGGATTTTAATCTGTGTAGTTAAGAGCCTCATGGATATCCAGAGTCAAGGTGATTGAATATGAAGATTGTTACGATAGTATAAAATTTAGAAAAACTGGCAGATTAATTTATCCAGAATATTGTGAAAAACAGCTATCAAACAATATTTATAAAACTAAATTAATGTAGAGACGATTAAATATATGTAGTTGATATAGCATTAATGTTATCTAACAGAAGTTCAGGACGGTATCTTTGCCATTTACACTTTGGTGTGGTGTAACAGATAAACATGCTGAATAGGTAGTTTTTGAGGGCAATTGAACCCCATTTGTTACATACCATTTTCTACTTTATTTTCCTTACTTTCCTATGGTCATTGCTACGTTGTAGAATTTTACTAAAAAGCATAAAATGAATTTTTTATAATTAATTTTTTTAAAGCTTTACACCTGAAAACAGTTTGTTTTCAAAATTTTTGTGATAAACTGTTTGAAAGCTTTAATTAGTCTATTCAAGGTATGATATTTGTAGTGAATTCAGAAAATTCAATAATTCAATGGACATTTGGTATAGTGATGTAAATGGATACAATGACAAGGAAATGATACAAAGAACAACACACACACACACAGGCTGAGCAATATGTTAATTTATTAAAGATGATTAATTTTCAGCAAATACTCATATTTTTAAGATAGGATATTGTGAATTTTATTTTTTAAGTTTTATACTACTTTAATTTCAAAGCATAGAACACCTAGTTAGTTGGACATGAAAAACTGAAATTATTTTTAAAAACTAACTTTAAATAGTAAGATTAAACATTTTTGAGACTGAATTATAACATAAACATGAAACAGGTCACCTTCAAATGCTAGTTTCTTTGAATGTTGAGTAGCTTTGCTCAGATATTTTAGAACCTTTTGTTCTTATTTTAACTTTATTGAATATGTATTTACTGTATAAATTCCTACATACAGAAGCTCTTCAATTCTTCAGTTGCAATTTAGAAAATACTGAACTTGTTATCAAACCTGAACTGCATTAGGCCATAGCAAAACTTAAAACACAGTAATCCACTATGCTTTTTTTAAATCTTGCTGTCTGTCTTAACACTAATTTTCTGTTCCTGATGGAATGTGAGGTCAGTTTATTTTTCAAGGAAAATTAATAAAAAAAAGGGGGTTAACTACAATTCTCCTTTAGCAAGGATATCACCAAATATCATTGAAACCAATTTGAACTTTAAAAAAAAGTAAGTCACACTTTATAATAATATTTCACTTAGTCCAAATGACATTATCTGTTAAACTACAAGGACTGCAGATTAAGTTAATCATCATCACACAAAATCTAAATTATTAAATGAGTGTACCAAAGCAATAGATAAATAAGTTTACTAGACAAGAGATAGGTGTAAGGTTATTAGTTAACAATCTGAGGACACCATGTTGGCTGTGTGTGTGTGTGTGTCAGGAACTTTTCTGTTTAAACTGCTATAATTTTCTTTTTTTTGTGAAGTTTCTGTAATAGTTGTTAAATAAACATTGAAAAAGTTTAAATTATTTTCAGTAGAATTGTCTAGTTATGATGTATGTCATATTCCATGTTAAATTGGGATATTACAAAATTTTCATCAAAAGTGAAAATTTTCTATCAGACTACCTTATGTGTGGGGTTCTTCATCATGGTTGTATGTACATACACCACTCTACTAGATGCAACTACTAACCGACGTGAGTTACCTATAGAACTTCAACGACCAAAAGACCTTAATGTCATTAAACCTTCACCACTTGCACCAGAAAAAGTAGCAGAGTTAATATCAAATGGTAAGTTTCTAAATCTTTAGTTGGTATGATCTTTATTCCAAATGAATGGTATTCTGATTTGAGGTATGGACTTTTAACTGTTATTGTTGGCTAAATTTAGTTATGTAACATACCTGATCTTTTCTCATAATGCATTATAGATAACAACTGAGAAGCTTCCAAGATTTAAAGTGTTTTCATACCATTCACTAACTATGGGATCTACATACTTACTTCACTATATTAACTAATTTTATCTATTTGCCTTTATGTCACAAAGTGTAAAGAATTTACTAAAAATATAGGGATGAAGTTACTCAGTTTATACATAAGATACAGCAGTAAATTATGTGAGTGTTTGAGGGATACTTGAACGAGAGCTTGTTTTAATCAAGTCCCTGGTGGTGTACAGTCCTGTATTTTTGCCTCATGATTTCTCTACAGTGGTGAATAAAAGCACCATACCTATCTTAGTGTATGTAATGCTGGTGTCGGAAAGATAGCGTTCATTGTGCTGTTGTTTTTTAATGTACACTGATGCAGTTCTCAGACAGAACTGGATTTCAATTTAAACAAAACATTGTGTTGATTATAATACTTGGTAAATTAAAATTAACCCTATTTATTTCACAATCATGAGACTAATAGTATACTGAAATGTGAGGTAGGAGATGGCTCACATGAAAACATCCCTGTTGGCTCTACAGTAAAATATATGGGACTTAATGGAAATATTCAGGTCCCAACCAAATGCTTTTTTATAGTGTAACTTTTCCTGTAATCAACAAAGTCATGGAGCTTAACTAGCTTGTGTATGAATATTCTGATGAACCCCATCAGTACATTTTGTACTGTTATTGTTTAAAGGATTGTGTAGTTTATTTATTGCTAGTTAAGTTTCACTTCTGTAGGAACTTGTGGTTAGAAGATGTTAAAAATATTTAGAAAAATGGTTTTATATGAGACTGAAGTTTAACAAATTTTCTTAACTGAAACAAAAAATACTTAATCATCTTTATTTTAGGATAAAATGATAATTTGAAAATTGTTATGTAATAAATAAAACCTAGAATATTTTATTACCTGATTGAACTTATACAATACTGCCTTCGTTATGAGCAGGAAAAATTTAATCAGTATTTTATATATAAAACACAGAATATTATAGCAGTTAATTGAGAATCGTACACTGATAACTTATTTGGGCTCAAAGTTATTCTAAATTAAACAAATAATAACTAGAATATTAAATCACTTAGAACTTGAGACAGTATTTTCTACCATTCGAACAGGAAAGTTAATCTGCATATAACAAATACTAACTAGGATATAAGTTGAACTCTATACATGGTTTCCAACTGTTTGATTGGAAAAGTTAAGTTAAACAGTCCGAAAGGTTTGTTTAATGAAAGTAGCAAGAATAGATGACAAATTTGATAAATCATCTGAACTTTCACAAGCACATTTAAGATAATAACAAGTAGAGAATTGCAAATTTGTGCAAGGTTATACTGTTTCTGAAATCAAATATTGAAATTTATGTTTGTGGAATTTTGTTAAATGTTTTTTTTTTTTCATTTTTTAAAAAAAGATGTCATTCACATCTATGAAACCTGTATTCAAGAAAATGTTCCATCAAATATTATTTCATGGTTATTAGGTTATATACATAGTTAAATTGTGCAAATGTTATCAAAATTCAGATTTCAAATATAAAATTTTTCTAAAATCTTTATAAGTTTAGGTTTTGAACATTTAAGTTTAAAGTTTATTGATATGTTGTTTTTATAAACCTAGGTGAGAAAAATTCAGTTACAAAATTTAAATTAAGCTATTTTTTGTAAAGCAAGTTTGAACCACAAATTGGACAAGATTTTTTATTGTAGTTTAAGTATGAGATACTCTAGCTTATAAACAGATTACTTTGAATGCACCCTTCATTTCTTTTTATTAATCTTACTAGAGATTATACAAAACATTCTACACGCTGATTTCCTGTGTTCCATGTGCGGGTACTTGGTTGTTATATTCCGTAAGGTGAATTGTTTTCTATAAGAGATTTCATTCTGAAGGTATTTAATCGCTATAGTTCATAATGTGAGTTCTATTCTGTCAGAGGTTTCATGTTAGTGGTACTCAGTTACTTTGGTTGTTTAAGTAAATTTTGTTTTATCAAAGATATTTTTCCAATGGCACTTGGTTACTATAGTTCATGAGGTTAGTTTTGCTCTATCAGAGATATTCTGCTAATGCCACTTGGTTACTATGGTTCATAAGGTTAGTTCTGTTCTATCAGAGGTTTCCTGCTGGCCATACTTGGTTACTGTGGTTCATGAAGTGAATTCTGTTTTATCACTGTATCTCCCTTGGTTATGCTTTATTCAATACACTGAAGCTGTTTGTCCAGACATGATAGTTATAAAAAGCAGATGGATAACTTATTTTGAAACATTGTTTAATACTTATTTCATCTATCTAAAATTTTAAATAGAAAATGTTCAGTCCTCTTGTTTTGAATCCATTTTTTGTAATAAACAATCATTATTCTTTTTTATTTCCCACAATACAAAAAGCTAATGCAGAGTACAAAGAAATGTTTGCTTATTTAAGAATTAAAAAGTATGAAAATCCTGGTTTTCTCAACATCATAGCATAAAGAACATTCAATATGAGACCACATGATGTACAGGCATCCATCCCATACTAACAATAATTTAATATGAAAAATTACTGCCAGCCCTGATACCCATATTCTTACATACTCATTAATATACAAATGCAACAATCAACATCAGTCATGATAAATATATAAGTCAACTTCCTTAATCTCAAGCAATAACCAGTCATATATTAACAGTCATGATGTCAAAATACAGGCATTGCAAACCCACCCTTGAACTAACTAAATGATAGATCCTCAAGAGCTTTTCTTCATCATTTTTCATTAGTTTCAAATATAATGAAAGATTAGTTTTGGTTTTGCACCCATTTGAGAACTCAACCTATAGTTTAAAGTAATCATGCAGTATTTCAACATAAAGATTACACCTAACAAAGTTTCTCTTTTCTATCCATTTTCACTTTCAAGACTCATAGTCCACAAAACATTTGACCAAGAAGAATGTAACATTAAACAAGATCTAAACCAAAACAAGAAACCTTTCTTTAGGGATCTTTAGTTAATTAGTCAGATATCTCTCTCAAAATTTTATTACGATGTATGTGTGCTGTATTACTAAAACTTGATATTTTTAGGAAAATATTCAATTATGTTACTAACTATAATTTCTTCATTTTTAAACTTACTGACACTGTCCCAGCAACCCCAAGCCCCAAACTTGATACAGGTCAGAAAGTAGTCAATCAAGAAGTACTGCAAGAATTGAATAAAAAGGGACAAGGTATGAATTATATATGTCATATGCATTCATGAAAAAATTATAATTTTTGCTTGCTATCAGTTAAAAAAAAAACATGAATAACTGCACTTTTCTATGAAATATTTTACAGATATTTAGTAAGTAATTTGCCTATTTTGATTTGATGAATTTATGTTCAGTTTTTGTTCTTTTTATTTTATTAATATATGTATTTAAAATTATTTCTACCTAACAGAGTTGTTTATGGATTATTTTTTCTCAGAAATATGTAAAAGCATTTGATTAATTTTAATAAGGATAATTTATGCTTTCTGGAGACAGTATCTGTGATGAATTCAGTTAGAAGCTCTTGAATAAATTGTTATTCAACTGGAATGATAATGACTTGTATAACTGAAAAATCTCTGCCAGAGTCATGCTTTTAAAACATTTTAACAGCTCAAGTCACATGATAAGACTTGAATATGGAAATTAAAACTAGCATATTAGGTCAGTTTATACCTGTGATGTACTGTGCCACTCTCTTAAGTTGATTCTTCAAGATTGTTTTCAATCAAAGTTATGAAAATTAAAACTAAGAGTAAAATCAAAAATTTACTTTCAATACAATCCAGGTTATTTCTACAAAAATATTTTGTCAGAGATCAGAGAAGATAGACAAAAAAAAAAATTACTGTAATGACAATGATTAAAAGCTATTATTTATTAAAAATACAATTTTGTAGCCAATTACTGGAGTAAGTAGTAAAGCTGTTGGTGTAAAATATTTTAAATAGTTATTATTCTTATTTTTAGATGGAGACAAAAGACAAGAACCTCCTATTCCCCAAGAACCAGAAGTAAAGGATGTTAATTTGGTGGTAAGTATTTAGATTTTAACCTACTAAAATGAAAATAAATAGGCGTAATGTAGTGGAAAAGATATTGATAAAGTAGTAATAATAGTTTCCAAATACTTATAGAAAGGATTAATTGTTTACACAGATAGAAGAAAGTTTGTCTTAAACTAGTTTATGAATAAGATGTATGTATGCCAGTTACTGTTTTACATGGCATTGTCAGGTTATTGTTACGTTTTAAGACTATTATGATCTGACCAAAAACAAAAGCAAGTTGAGTTTTAAATCAACAGGTTTAACAGCCTGTTTTCAGTATATAAACAGATTGTGATAATATTGACGTAGATTATTGGGAAATGGTATTCCTTATTTGACATTATGGAAGTAGCTTGGGTTAGCAATATAAATATTTTCAGCAATATTTATTTTAAAGTATTCCAAGTTTGCTACAGTATTTGTAAGAATTGTATATCAGACGTGACATCACCAACATATTATAACTCATTTTTAGTGCAGTTTTCTGATGTGAGAGAGAACAATAAATCAGATTCAGGACTTGCATATATGATAGGATGTTATAGCAAAACAGCTTGTCAAGAGATGTGAGCCTCGTTAAAATTATGGATATCAATCTTGGGATCCAAAGAGTCTGAGCTATTGTTAGGGCACAAAAAATACGATAACAAAGCTAAAGTTACAAAGAAGAAGGAATTAAACTGAATACTGAAACAAGGACCAGAAACATTTGTTTCAAAAATAAACAAACTAAAGTTACATAGAAAGATGAATTAACCTGAAAGCTAAACAAAAAAGGGAATTTTTTTTCACAAATAACCTTAAAAATTATATAACAAAGGTAACACCACATAGAAGGATGAATTAACCCGAAAACTGTAAAACAAGTAGCACAAACATTTGTTTTACAAATAACCATAAAAATAAAATAAAGCTAAGGTTTTCCATTAGGATGAATTAACCTGGTAACTGTTATATAATAGTCTAATTCTTGCTCTATCCTGTCATAGTTAAACATTCTTTGTAGCTATTTTCAAAGTTATGTTTCATTAGTAAATGAACAAACCACTTGACGTGGCACCATAATGTTTAAACAAAGGCCTATTCCAAAAACTAAGATATTTGAAAATCAAGAAATGGATAGTATATTCTCAAGGAATGATAGGTGCTTACCAAAAATAGTTATTCTTTAGAATAGGCAGAAAAATTATAAAATAAATTTACAAGTAGGTTGTTTTGTTTACAGGCAAAACTCTTTGCAGCTATGGGGGAATAAAAGTATGAATGTTTTTATATTTTTCTTCATGAATCACACAAACATATGTCAGAAATTCATATACTACCTTTAATACTAGCATCTTAGTTCAACGATCTTGGAGCATTTAAGTGATGCATTTATAACTACAGAGTAACTCAAATAGTTTGTGGTCAATGAAGGGAAGTAAATACACAATACATTTTATTTATTGGGCAATTGAGTACTTAGCCAAAGTGAAAACTTGGTATTTTCAAAGTCAAATAACATAAAAGTTAGAATACCTCAGCTTATTTTGTAAAAAAAATGTTAGACATTTACAGCTTTAACTTGCAGAGTTTGAAAACTCAGTGAATGAATAAGAATGAAGCTAGAAAGTCTGATTTAGATCCGTAGTATTATTATGGTAACAAGAAACATAACTTCACATTAGGAGCAGTAATGTTTCATTTTTACAGCAATAGTATGATACCAGTTAACTGTTTAAAAGTTAGCTGTATAACACTGTAATCACATTTTCATTATTTTTTGAAACAAGAATAGATACATGAATATACAAATCCTTAAGAAATGTAATAAACAAAGCCAGGGCTTCACAGAAAGGCAAATTATTAAGCCTGGTAACTGTGAAACAAGAATAATTATATTAATACAAAAATATCCTCTGTATATCTACAACTTTCAAATGAAACATTTGCTCTGCTAAACCTCTCTTTACTTTGATAAACATTTGAACCAAAGCTCATAGTAATAAGAAATGTTCATCATTTACCTACCTATATTACATGAGTAGCTTGTTGTTTTAAAGAAATATTTAAGATAATGTTTTATTAAGTTATACTGTAGTGTTTCAGAATGCTGTAAAATTATTTTCAACAGACAAAATAGATGATTGTATGAAAACCATGATGAACACCAGCAGTTCATGCATATAAACAGTGTATCTATACCTCACAGTATTAAAGATGCTAATTTGGTTGCATGAATGGGAAACAGTTATTACCAAGTTTTTCAATTTATAAATTATAAGTTATGCATTGATATAGTATTGATTTTTCCTGACTTTTTGAATTTTAAATAAGGAGGAGGAGCATGGAGCAGAAGCATATAAGAACAAAGGCAAGGAAGGTGGAGCAGACAGCCAAAAAGAAAATCTTGGTTTAAAGCAGCAGAATATACGTGACAAAGAAAATTTGAATCCATCAGATGTTCAGGAAAAAATAAAGTGATAGATGATATTAACAAACGCAAGGAAAACTTGGATGTAGCAAACAATCTAAAAAAAGAACTTGATGAGGAAAAGAGTGACAATAGGGTCAAAGATAGTGTAATAGTCAACCAAAAAGAATCTGTAATAGGACTGGACATCAGCAAGGGCAAGGAAAGTTTGGATCCAGCAGCAATTCAGAAGGAAGAAAGGGAGCTAAATGAAGGAGAGAAAAGACCTGAAAACCATGAGAAGTTGTTACAGCAATTAGTAGAAAAGCAAGAAGAACAGAATAAACTTCTCCGAGAACAAAATAAGATCATCCAGGAACTCAAAAGAAACCAAGACAGTGCTCAAGGAAAGGAAGAAAAAAAGCAAAATGATGCTGGATACCAAGTAGTGGATGAGAAGAATGAAAAAAATAACTTACGATTATATCAGGAAAATCAACAGCTTAATCTCATCAAAAATAAAGAACAAAGCCAAAATCTTGGTGGTATATCCAATAATCAAGCTAAAAATATCAAAGATAAACCACAGCAAAGAGTTAATTCACCGGTTCAGTATAAACCACAGCAAAGAGTTAATTCACCGGTTCAGTATAAACCACAGCAAAATGTTAATTCACCAGTTCAGCATAAACTGCAGCAAAAATTATCTCCTAATCAAATTTCACTTGGTCAACAGAATCAGCATAGGCAGGAAAATATTATTGGTCGACCTTCTGAAGATCAACAGAATTTTCCACCTGTTCAACCAGAACCACACAAACAGCAGGATGGGATTAGACAAGAGAAACCACAAAACCTTCAAAATATAATTAATCTAGAGAACAAACAAAACATGTTTATTGAGCAAAATCAACAAGATAATAATGCTGTAGTTCAACAACCAATTCTAAAGAATCAGTACAGTGTGTCCAGACAGGAAGCCAATTCACTTAACAAAGGTGATTTTCAGGACAAAAGTCACATTCAACCTAAGTTTCATGTAACTCAAGTTTTACAAGAATATTCTAAGATTGAGAAGGGAAAGGAAATCAAAGTTGTTGGTGAAAAAGTTGAGAATGTACAGCATAAAATAGACTTGAAAATTGGTAGATTTAATGAAAAACTTTCTGCAGATGCTGCTGGAGGAGAATTTTCACAGCAAAATAAACCTCAAGAGACAAAGGAGAAGATAGAGTATAACGAAAATGTGAGAGAATTGCACAAGCGAGAAATGAAGAATCTTGATTATCCTGATAACAACATTAACAAGATTGAAGAAAAAAGATTTGCTGATGCTGACCAAAATGATGGATTAGTGCATCTTACGTCTGAACCATCATTAATACAAAAAACTAAGCTTGACCAATTAGTAACGAAAGAATCAATAAGTGAGAGACATAAACGTGAAGTGGATTCTGGTCAGCTGAAGATGCCTATCTATGTCAATGACAGTGTTCCAGATCCAGTTAAAGAGAGTCTCCTTGAAAACCCTCCATCACAAGTTAGTAAAATGGACATCCAAGGAGTTTTAAACTCTAAAATGAAAAACGTTGCTAGTTTAGGCCTTATTAAGCATGAAATGAGAAGACTACTTGAAGCTAGTAATACTTCTCCCAGTGAAATAAGAGAAGTAATGTGGAATACATCTAAAGTCACTGCTAATGACTTTGAGAATACATCACAGACTCCTAGTCAAAAAAATATAGCATAGAAAGAGTTTATTTTTATTAAAAAGCAACAAAACAGCACAGCAACAAATCTGTTAAGTTACATGATACAAGATGGTTGGGGTTATTTTTTAAGGGGTTTATTTATCCTCAAAACATTTGTATAATGTTTTCTTTTATGCTCCTGTTCATTACTTGGTTATTCTAATGGTTGAGAGACAAGAATACTTAATAAAATTATGTTTAGATTTTAAGTAGATCCAGTGTGTAAGTTTCAATACTTAAAAACTATTTTTAAGTGTGAACACTGTGTATCATGTCCTGTGGACAACTGAGATAACAACCTGAGGTGGAATAAAGAACATTTTCTAGTGTCTTGTACATTACAAAGAAATGGTGGTTAATGATTTTAATTAATGCTTCTATATTGAGCCAATCAACAGAGGAAAAATTTAAAGTTGAACTTTTAACTTCAGTGTTTCATTACACATATATAAATTATGTCGTTAGATTAGAAGAACTTTGCTGTATTTAAGATTATTCACAGATTACTATTATTATAACCTTGTCTCTGCAGTTCATTTATTGGAAATTAATAACCATGTATTTTCATTATGAGTTTTTAAAAAATATTGAGTTCAAGAACTTGTATGAAAAGTTTAAAAGACACTTGTGAGATGGATTGAGTTATTGCTCATTCGTAATTTTTTGTTACAGTACCAGTTCACTGATTTATATTGAATTTTATAAGTTGTAGGTTATATGTAATAGTCTTTTAAAACATTAACTTTATTATTTAGCAGCAGTTTTTCAGAGATAACTTGTGTCATTTGATTGTTCCTTTCATCTCTTATGTAAACTTTGCTAAATTGGTATAGGTTATTCATTGTTATGGTCATCACTAAGTGATAATCTGTTAATTGTAAACTAGAAATGTTGAAATTTATTTATATACTACTAAAACTCTGAGATTGTTTGTTTGCTTGTCTGTAATTAAATACAGCAAAAACGGTGCACAATGGCGCCATATTTGTAATGAAATGAGAATAGAAACAGAATAAAACAAGTTTTGTTAAAATCGGGCCATGTGTAACCGAGTTAGCGCCATTGTTCGGGTCACTTTTCGTACATTCCATTATTATAAAACTTCGTTTTCCACCTGATGAATCACTTTAAAATATCTTCCATACAACAATATATGCACAACAGAAATTAAATAATGAGATGAAAATGTGTTATAACAGCACGTAGAAAGAACAATAAAATGGACCTACAATATTATTGACTATTTGCAAATAATAGCTATGGAGACGAGGTAATAAAATAAAAATCAAGTCTAGAACAACAACATTTTGTAAATGAAAACCTCTCGCCGAGCATTTCGATATTATATTATTTCTCAGTCAATGTTCCCATCTTCATTAAAAGGCGTAAGATGACAAAAACAATATCTTGAAGAATCTTTCTATATATATTACTAAAACTCTGAGATTTTTTTATTGTTTCTTTGCTTATTTTCTCAGTCAAAAAATCATTCACACTACAGTTGGCGTTCTTTACGAAACTTCTTACTTCCCTTTTTTGAAAAATGAAATGGTCTTTCCTTTTACTCCCGACCAACAATCAAATATCTTTTCTTGAATTATGAATAACACAATGGATTGAAATATTTAATTAAATTATTTCAAAATAAACCTTCATTTCGGTGCAATATTGAAATTAGCTTGAATTCTTCATAACCTCTGAATAGTGGTTGACCCCACGGGTCACGGTGGTCTAGTATCTGTTAAATATTTTAAATCTATAAATTTTTGACAGCTAGATTAGAATTTTTTTTGATAAAACCACTTTTAACTTCTTCGAGGCTGTTAGAGGTGGGATTGTAAACAATATATGCTTGCTTCTTTTTTATCTAAAGATGTGTAAATCCATCAGTTAGGACATAATGTCACTGACTTATGTGGACTGATTTGAACATGTATTTATCAAAACTAAAGTTCTCGCTGGTCAAAATATTCCAGTTTCGTAATTCATGTAGTTAGACATAATGTTTCATTTTCGCAAAAACCAATAGTGTAGCTAAGTGCTGTATTCAACGGGAAACTCGTGCATTCATAACTTTCCTTTAGTTTTTTAATGACATTTTCAACAACTCATTCAAAATTGAATGTTCTCATGGTTAAGCTTAACTTCACCATTAAGTTATAATTCGGCTTTAAAAACTACAATTTAATTAATTTGACTCAGACAGCTTAGCAAATGTATTTTTATTAACAGACGATTTTATTGGCTTAATAAGTTATGATACTGGGATGGAGTACCCTGGCATCTGTCGATTGGAACTTGGTAAAACCAATACGATCTTATCTGGAGTATGACAAAACTGTGCATTTTTCGAGAATTAGCCGTACGAACATTAACATGTTAACGAAGTGTATATATATATATGATGTATAAATTATTGTTCTGTGAACTAAGCATGATTAAAATGGTTAATCGTTAACTCAGAGTTTAATAACTTTACATGTCAAAATATGTTTAACTTTATAAGGAAATTTAAAAGATAATACGGTGTGATATTTTTATTCAATTCATTCACTATCTGTAGCTTGCACATTTTGCACTTTAGTGTATGGTAGTTTCAACGAGAGAAACGGTTTTTTTTCTTTCAATGACCAACGATTTTCAACGAAAAGTTAATGTAAAGCAGACAAAACTCTTTAAGTGACACATTTATGATGAAATAGTTTCACGGGCCAAAAATTTTAAAATGTTCCCGTTTTTTGCTAAAGGAACATAAATTTCTTATTCAATGATACACTAACGATACGCAAAATCCGGAGTTTCATTCCACGCCATGGATAGAGAGCAGATATCCTATTGTGTAGCTTTGTGCTAAAACAACGGTCTAAATAATCTCGATGTTTCGTTCGGCCTAATCTAAAACCAAATTCCATGTATTTATAAAAGTCTTTTGTAATTCATTCTTTAAGTAGTGCTGGCTGCTTTATATTATTAAAACAAAACCGCTATAATGGTTGAATGCAGACACAAAGTGTCCACAATTATCTATATCAAGTTTTTAGTAAATTTTTGTGGAAACATTTGGGTCAGTACGTTATTACAACCTCGCAAAACAAGGCTGTTTCTTGTAATGTTTTTAATGCCGAATTAGTCAAATAAAACTAGGTAGACACTGCAAATATCGAATCGGTCATTTGTAAAATACTCCATTTAATGGTACACACAAAGTAGAGTAATAATCATGTGATATGTCAATGAAGAAATATGGTTAGTTAGCAAGACAACGATGGAATAATGATCTCTTCGACTTTCAAAGGCACGTGATAGTTGATACCCATCAGATGATCTAGAGGAATGCAGTTTAAAAGTTAATTTCATTTTACCCACTGTTAAAGGACATCTGTCCTTAATGTCTATCAACAATGACATTCAAAAGGGAATGGGAAAAGTTGTGACAAATCGAGAGAAGAATATTGAACAGACATGTAAAATGACATCAGATTTTTTCGATGATGCTCAGAAGTTAAAATTGGTGGCAGCCAATTGAAAACTGCTAGTAAATGCAAACACGACAGCGCAGTTCGGGAGTGAGAACTGAAGACAATGAATGACTGAAAGTGTGATGTGGACTGATGAGTCGTAATTATCTCCTTTTTTGTAGAATACAAACCATGTGAAGCACTTGACCCTGCTTGTGTTGTTCCGATTGTTGAAGGTACAGGATGTAATAGTTTCTTTAACGAGAGCAAGTAACATCCAGAGTGTATCTCAACGCTGTGCCCAATCGTATTCCTCCATGATATTGCATATTTATCTTGATGGACGAAGACTATTCCAACATGATAATGTAACAATTTATCGTGCTCGTACTGTTCGAGGCCTGGCGGTTAAGGCGATCGACTCACAACCTGCGGGCCGTGGGTTCGAATCTCCGTCACCGAACGTGCTCGCCTTTTCAGCCGTGGGAATGTTATAATGTAACGGGTAATTCCACTATACGTTAGTAAAAGAGTATTCCAATGGTTGGCGGTAGGTGGCGTTCACTAGCTGCCTTCCCTCTAGTCTATAACTGCTAAATTATGGACGGGCTACCGCAGACAGCCTTCGTGTGGCTTTGCATGAAATTAAAAACAAAACGTACTGGTCAAAATTTGGCTAAAGATTAATTTGACAGAGACGATTAACGGATCTCAGTATGGTAGAATTATTTTGGATAAACACTACTTGGTGCCATGATTCAATTAATCTTTGTGATTTAATTGAAAACCATACTTCTCGAGAAATGGACTACAATCGAATGTGGCATTTTGTGATGTGTATACTATGCCTTGTCTAACCTGTTGTGTGTACAATCGATATTAGATATTAGCCTTCATAAAATGAGCAGTCAGTGAGTGAATAAAAGAAATGGTTTCTTTTTATGTAGTGTAGGATATTTCATGATCTTATTTATACATTTTCAAAATTCTTTTCCTGAAATATCTTGATTTACAACCAGAAATAAAAACTACATATCACACATGGATAGCATAAATACTTGGGCTGATTTTTTTTTTTTGTATTCCAGATCATAAGTACTTGTTCACCTCACCTAAAATGGCTGTAAACCGTTTATGATATAATAAAGTCCTTTAGTAGTGTAAGATCTTAACATAAAAGTACTTGTTGATAAGATGGTTGGAATAAAAATTCTGACGTTGTTGTAGAATTTTGTTCAATTACGATCGTATTTTGGAATGCAATTGCTGGAAAATATTTCCATAAAATTTATTTGAGGTATAACCTATGTTTAATTTCCTAAAACTTTAGATATATCTTACAAAAGTATGTTTCAGTGGAAAATTCAAATATGCTTTGCAATAGACACAAACTTATGAAAAAAGAAATAATCAGAGGTACATTTTGAACGTTATCACACTATTTAAAAAATATAAATGAAGAAAAATTTCATAAAAGAGACCTGAAGTTAATCTCCAATTCACTTGTATCTACATATTCAAACCGTTTAGTGAACTTTACAAAGTGGTGGTTTTGAAAACAGCTTTAGGGCAATGCTGAAAAGAGTTTTCTTTGTTTTTAATTAAGCACAAAGCTACACAATGGTGTATCTGTACTCTGCCCACCACGGGTATCGAAACTCGGATTATAACGTTGTAAGTCTGCAGACAAACCGCTGTGCCACTGGGGGACACCGAAGAGAGACTAGCCGAATTAATATCTGTTTCTTAGAGCAGAAGAGCTACCATTTAAACGTGCTAATATACTTTTTGGAATATTTTACAAAAGCTAAATTTATTTGTTTATTTACATGGTTTTGTGTGTGTGTGTGTGTAACTTGGAAAAGAAAATGAAGTACAGATGTTACTTTGGTTTTAAAAATATGATAATTGTATTTATTCTTTTTCTAATAAAGTAAATTTAACTTGGAGATTTATTTAGATGATAATATAGAAGTTTGTTTTGAATTTCGCGCAAAGCTACACGAGGGCTAGCCGTCCCTAATTTAGCAATGAAAGACTATAGGGAAGGCAGCTAGTCATCACCACCCACCGCCAATTCTTGGGCTACTCTTTTAACAACGAAAAGTGGGATTGACCGTCACATTATAACGCCCCCACGGCTGAAAGGGCGAGCATGTTTGGTGGGACGGGGATTCGAACCCGCAGATTGCGAGTCGAGCTTCCTAACCACCTGGCCATGCCGGGCTCAAATATACAGAAAAATCGCCCGTATTACCCACGGGCGATTTTTCTGTCGTTGTGTTGACTTAGCTTGTTAAGTAGATGAGTGTAATCTAATTTAACAACGGCGTTCCGAAGATTGGTTGTGTTGACGTTAAACTTTCCCTGGTCTCCTTACACAC